CATCCTTTTCTTCTCCCACATTTCTCTCAACCCTGAATTCTTCAATTTTCTACTTCACCACATAGTACTGGAGGTATCTTTATGGAACAAGACAGTATAAATAAGTTTAAAATATGCAAAGCACTGCAGTAGGGACTAGTGGATATCAAAGGATGAATCAGAGGCTGACTGTCTCAATGCCCTCCAGGAGTTGGCCCTCTGGTGGGGGAGAGAGACACACATAAGGCAAACCACTCTGAGGCCAATGTTCAAGAGGAGCATGAACAAAGTACAGGACAGTGCGGAGCAGGAAGCATGACACGGACTCAGAAGCTCCATCCGGAGTAAGAAACACCCCTTTCTGGAGCTCCCTGAGCATCTCTCTATCATCGCACTTATTTTTATTTATTTACTTATTTTTTTGTGATTGCTGGAAGAATATCATTATACTTAAGATCCTATGTGGAAAAACCTGTTTATGTCCATTGCCCCTGTTAAGGTACTGAGCATGAGGGACATGGTCTTATCCATCATCTTTGTATCCCCAGGGCCTAGCCCCAAATCTGGCACAGAGTAGATGCTCAATAAATGTCTGTTAAATGAATGAGAAAGCTTTTAGTAGGTACGGAAGTGACCAGGCACTCCAGGCAGAGTGACCAGCATAAAAAAGACAGAATGTCTGTACCATAAGACCAATGTCCAGGATGCAAAAATGTGAGGTCTGGTAAGATTGCAGCTGGAAAAATCCTTAGGGCATAGAATGACACATGGAAGGCAACATCTTCACCATTTTCTGGTAAGCCCTGCACATTGTAGTTTTGATAATGCTTTTAGGTTACACAGCATTCTTTCTACATTCAGAGAGGTTTTATTTGCTAATTGAATGACAATAACTATGGTGGCTTTACAGTCACCATAGTTGTGTGTGAAGGGTCATATTTGCTATTTTACTTCTGAAAGCCTATCTGGTATTACTTACTGTTCTAGCAGGAGACAATAGTGGTGAAGATATACCTGGCCATAAAATAACCTGAACAGGCCATCCTGACTGAAAGAGCTGCTTGATGAAGGTAGACATCCATTTACCTAGCTAGAACCAGCTGGGTCATCTCTGAAGTTTAACAGTGGCAAATGTCATAAGAAGAGGCCCGCCCCTCAGATTCTGAAATCAGCCTCCCCATGTTCTGAGAGGTTAGCTGGACTTGGTAAAAGACTTACGCAAATACCAAGAAATGCACTCAGGATAACAGAGACTTTCTCTGTTCCAAGCCCTGGGTCTCTAAGAAGGAAGCCTGTGATTCCTTAAGAAAAATAACAAATGACAATACTTCTGCCATCAAGAAAGAAGACACGAGAAGAGCCTAAGCCTAAGGACACATACAAAAAAGAAGGAAGCAGGATTAACAGTTAAAAATCTGGGAAGGGTACATGCTGTTTAAATGGAACCGTGGACAGAGAAAGTTTTCAGATTCAAATTTGGCAAGACCAAGAAAATGTACTTACTAAATAACAGGAAAGTACAGATCACTTTAATGATTCATATGCTTTGCCTCCGAATAATAGCTCAGCAACAATGCTAACTGAAGCTACTGCCTCTGGCTACAATGCATGATTATACTGAACACTTAATATATGCTGTTTCAGGCTACTGAGGAAAGACAGTACAGCGTCTATGAAATGCTCCTGTCCTGGAGGAGCTCACAATCTGCCAAGGACCTCGAGGTCATATCCACAAACTTAAACAAAGAGTGTAAGGGTGCAAATGCTGAGTGACAGCAGAACTTGTGAAGATGGTAAGACTCAGATAAACAGAAATAAGATGACATAATACAACTGGAAACACTCAGGAAAGGAGGAAAAAAATAATACTTTTAGACAACTGGTTGTGAATGAGAAAAGTGTTTTTTTTTGAGATGGAGTCTTAACTGTGTCACCCAGCACGCAGGGTGGAGTGCAGTGGTGCAATCTCAGCTCACTGCAACCTCTGCCTTCCAGGTTCAAACAGTTCTCCTGCCTCTGCCTCCCAAGTAGCTGGGATTACAGGCACACGCCATCACAGCTGGCTAATTTTTGTATTTTCAGTAGAGACATGTTGGCCAGGCTGGTCTCAAACTCCTGACCTCAAGTGATCCGCCCGCCTCGGCCTCCCAAAGTGCTGGGATTACAGTTGTAACCCACCACGCCCAGCCCAAGTGAGGAAAGCATTAATGTCTTCCTTCCAATAAGTGTATGAGGAGGAGGGACTGGATAGATGAAGACATAAGTACAAGGATGTTTGCACTCATAAGGATGCTTACTGTTGGCAGAATTCAAAGTTTGAATTCAATGTAGGGAAAAGGTAGTATGAACACACAATTTATGGTCCACACAAGAAGCACTTCTGAAAGTAGAAGGCAGGCTAAAACTAATTATTAATAACAGGTGGTAATTATCCAAAATAGGCACAGACTGGCACACGGCAGGGGGACCAGTACACAAGCAACAGGGAGCCACTGAATAAGTATTTCTGGATTTAGGTGATGGCGATGAGAATGGAATGATGGGGTAAATGGAGGACTTAGTACATGGCTAGATATGGTAGGGAAATGACAAATCTAGGTGAATATTCCTTCACATAAAACATGAAATTTGGAGGGGAAGTTTTCAGGAACTTGAGTTTAAAGATGGGACAATCAAGTGGAAGTGTCCAGAGGAAAACAGAGACATGGAACTAGAGCTGAGGACAGACATTGGAAATAATATAAAGAGATTGGTTAGCCGGAGGTATAAGAGCAGACAAGTAACAGCCAAAGAGATAATCCCATTATCAATTTCTCATTTAAAGTTTGATAGTTTTCATACTCCTCTTCAATTCCTTTCACTCACAATGGTTGAGCCCTCCCAATTCTCCACTTGCCCTGCCAAATCTCAAAGAGCTTATCACGCCACTCAGCAAAGAAAACCTCTCTGGCATTTCTCACATTTGCAAAGAGCTTTTAGGATATATTTGCTAATAAAATCTCCCATTTTAAGTCTTATGTTTAGCACTAGACAAGATAAAAACTGGGAATTTAATATCCCTCCCCACAAGTAATCTTTTTATTTTTGGCTAATGGAGTGACTCAAATATTATTAAATGATTTGATTACCTTTTTAGAGAAATTTAGTTGTTGCTTGCATCCAGCAAAGGAGGAAAAATAATACTTACATAAAACTGGTTGTGAAAATATGCAAGGGAAAAAAGTATTAATGTTTTCCTCCCAGTACATTTATGAGGAAAAATCTGGAGTAGATGAAGATACAAGTACACGGATTTTTTTTTTTTTTTTGAGACGGAGTCTCGCTGTGTCTCCCAGGCTGGAGTGCAGTGGCGCGATCTCGGCTCACTGCAAGCTCCGCCTCCCGGGTTCACGCCATTCTCCCGCCTCAGCCTCCCAAGTAGCTGGGACTACAAGCGCCCGCCACCATGCTCGGCTAGTTTTTTGTATTTTTAGTAGAGACGGGGTTTCACCATGTTAGCCAGGATAGTCTCGATCTCCTGACCTCGTGATCCACCCGCCTCGGCCTCCCAAAGTGCTGGGATTACAGGCTTGAGCCACCGCGCCCGGCCTACACGGATGTTTACACTCAGGCAAGCTAGGATCACAGAGAACCCTAAGATCCCAACCTTGGCCAGCAAAGCACACTGCTTCTCCCCTACAGTAGTCCTAGAAAGGCTGGTACAAAAACCAGTGTACTGATTAGGCTGAGCAGTGAACTGCATCTTCCACAGGTGATAAGGGGGGAAAAATGGAATAAATGGCAATTTTCTGCCATTCCACACAGGGAATGTTCAGCTTCTGGTTCATGAGAAAATACAAGTACTATACAAGCCTCACAGACAGGTTCAAAAAAGCATTTGTTATAGCAGTGATTTGCCAAGTTTCATATTCTGTTGAGAATATTAAGAGCCCATATCCAAAGTTGGAAGCCTAAAGCCTGATTAATGGGTTTAGGAAGGTACTATTCTCCACAGGGGAGGGCTTCAGAAGAGTAATCGTCCCTGTTCTCACGCCATTAGCATTACCGCATAGACTGATTTCCACTGCAGTTGAACAAATAATAGAAACTGTTCAAGTGGCCTAACACAGATAACTCACTTTAAGACTTCACATTAATACAACAAGAGAACAGATAGAATTAAGAGTATTTGGTGCTCAAAAGATATTTACTCCATCCTGGCTAACACGGTGAAACCCCGTCTCTACTAAGAAATACAAAAAATAGCCGGGCGAGGTGGCAGCGCCGGTAGTCCCAGCTACTCGGGAGGCTGAGGCCGGAGAATGGCGTGAACCCGGGAGGCGGAGCTTGCAGTGAGCTGAGATCCGGCCACTGCACTCCAGCCTGGGCTACAGAGCGAGACTCCGTCTCAAAAAAAAAAAAAAAAAAAAAAAAGATATTTACTCTATACTCCCTATTTCCCTCACTGCCTTGATATTAAAAGAAAACATACAATTGGGTTGTGCACTCACTACTTTAAACTGCCTGCTTTAAGTCTGCATTAGAGAAATGCAAAGTCAGGCACTTGAGAGAACAGCTTCAGACAAATGAGAGTTTAAAGACACCAAGCAGAATGCTTGTCCTCCAGCCCTTTCCTCTGCCTCTAGATGCTAACACACACTTGCCATGGTGTAGAAAGGGCTGAGAATACCTCAAGTGTAGAAAGGGTTATGACTTTTTATAACCAAGTGAGATTTTCTGAACCTCTCAGCAACACTAACTGGGTTTATACACATCTGAGTCATGGGAAGAATCAATTTTATGACTAAGAGATTTTCTATGAATGTCAGTGGCTACTTTTGCTTCACACACACACACACACACACACACACACACGCAAAACAGAAAAAAAAAAAAAAAACCAGTTGTTAGTATCAGAGCAACCTTCTTAGCTGAAGGACTGTTCACACTAAGCCTTTATATCCCCCAAGGGGTACTAAGAACCAGCCAAGGAAGGCAAATTTCAGAAGCTTTCCCAACAAACACAATTCAGGGATAAGGGGTTCAATGTGCAAAGTCTTTTATTTAAAATTTTAAAAGTTAAGACTTACGACCACCTCAGTATATGCCATTCCTATTAGAAGGAGGTATGACGGTTTCAAACTCATGCAGAGCTGCATTTTCATTTACAAGTCTCTGTAGGCACTTTAGAAGTGAAGCTTGGCTTCAAAATACAAACACTGGGGGCTTTGGCTCAACCTTTTAATATAAAAAATTCACTGATGTACAAAAATGTGAAAGTGTGACAATGACAATTATGAAATCCTGTGACTGAAAGTCCCCTCAAGTGCACTCTGTGGTACACATGCGCCCGCCCACACAAACTCTGGCGTGGAAACATAAACTAATGCAAACCAGTGCTACCAAGAAGCACCAACACGTGTGTTCTCCATTCCACCAATCACAGACCAGTATCTACTCCAAACATCCAGTAACGAAAAGTATGGCATCTTCCCAGGAACAGCAAGGCAGGTTTCTTACTCACGATGAACCAGCACGAATAAACCCAGCAAAAAGAGCACTGCATACTAGAAAATAAACACAGAACCACACGTCAGAGAAGCATTGAAAAGTTCAAGGGTTCTTAGAGTTAATTAATAAACTGGTCTTCGTGAATATATTACTAAACTACCCAATTATTCTTTCATCTTTTAGCTGTAATCCATTTAAAAGTTTCCAATACTAAGCAAAAGATCACATTTCTTTAAATAATTTTTTTTTTTTTTTTTTTTGAGACAGAGTCTCACTTTGTCACCCAGGCTGGAGTGCAGCAGCAACCTCCACCTGCCATATTCAAGCAATTCTCATGCCTCAGCCTCCCCAGGAGCTGGGATTACAGGCATGTACCACCACACCTGGCTAATTTTTTTGTATTTTTAGTAAAGACAGGGTTTTGCCATATTGACCAGGCTGTTCTTGAACTCCTGACCTCAAGTGATCCGCCTGCTTCAGCCTCCCAAAGTGCTGGGATTACAGGTGTGAGCCACTGCGCCCAGGCTAATACTTTTTTTTTTTTTTTTAATAGACACGGGGTTTCACTATGTTGCCCAGGCTGGTCATGAACTCCTGGGCTCAAGCGATCCACTCACCTTGGCCTCCCAGAATGCTGGGATTACAGGCGTGAGCCACTGCACCTGGCCCAAAAGATTACATTTTTAATAAAACAAATAATACAGGCCCTTACCTTAAATTTAGGATAGTCATTCATGAGGATTGTCACAATTCCAATATAAGGAACAAATCTAAAACAAACAAAAAACTGATTATCACAGAATTTCCGATGTAAAGCAGCTGTTGTCATTCACTGAATATTATCAATATCTTCTACAGAATACTAATTTTCAATTCACAAAGTTCATTTCTATATACTGCCCTATTTGATCCTTTCAAAAGCCCAAGTGATAGTAAAGTTAAGAATATCACCATTTTAGAGATGAGGAAACAGATGATCATGCCCAAGGTACATGGCTTGTGTGTGGCAGAACCAGCACCAGATAGATCCAAGGTCTTAGATTTCCAGGTGGTGACTCTAATGCTACATGTTGATATAGTGCTAGGGGCTAGGTTTATCATCATAACCTTCAAGAAGCTGTCAATCTAGCTAGGGAGACAAAGCAAGCACAGCCAGAATATTACAAAGTACTTCATGTTAAGTGGCCAAAAAGTGAGTGTAAGAGCTCATTATAGTACTTAGGATTTCACCACCTTCTCATTTGTTAACCACCTGTAATCTGTGTTTGGTCCTATTAATCTTGAAACTTTTCTAGAACAGTTTTCATCACCATATGTAGCAAACCAGTCTCAACCCCCATATTCCTTTCCATCATGGCACCATTTGACTTTCATGACCACAAATATGCTCTGGAAATTCCTCCTTCTTGGTTTCTTAATGTACCACAAATTTGTTTCTTTACCTACCTCTTTGGTTGCTACACCTTCTTTTCACTAGCTCTTTCTAATTCCTCATGCCCCTAAAGTTTTTCTCCTCAACTAAGCAAAACCACCTGTTACATGATCTTACAACACCTGATACATTTCCTTTGAGGTCTTTATAACAATTATACTTTTATTAAATAATTAGTTGTACGACAGATTCTATACATGTCTGTCTCCCCTGCTAAACTAGAAGCTCTATAAGGGCAACAATGATGCCTATCTTGTTCCCCCTGTACCCTCAAGGCCAACATAGTACCTTATACATAGGAGATATCCAGTATATCCTGCCTGATTGAATGTCTGAATGTCCGGGCCTCCTCTTTTTGCTCTCTCTTGGGGAAATCCTATTTTCTCCCAGGGCTTAAATTCCTCTCCATGCAAAAGACTACTTTGACATAAGAATTCAGGGCAGAAAGAGAAAATTAGCAGGGTACTATCGATGTGAGTGGAAGAGGTGGTTAGCAAATGTAAAACTTTCTTCTTTATCCTCCTCTTCTATTGCTGGACTCCAGAGCGGACTGGCAATATTGTACTAAGCTAGAGCCTGTCATAGGGAGGCTGAGCTGAAGTGGAGGCTGACCTTTGCACACTTTAAAATTGCCCAGATACTTTTATTCAGGGTACCTACCTACAATCTTTGCACCATGCCAAACACAGCACAAACAGAAATTACCTCCCACATAATATCTACACCATCAAAGCCTTAGGCAAACTTGAACACACATTTTGTTTCGGACACATTTAACTTCCCTTTAAGAACTCCCCTCACTTCTGTCTCTTGTCCTCACCCCTCCCTGCTCCTCTCCCTTCTGGCAGGATCACTGAGACCTATCTCTCCTGCCCCAACCCCAAACTCCCACTAGTGTTTCTTAAAGCCTAGACCTCCTCTGTCACAAACGCTTGATGGCTTGTTAAAAATGCAGATTCTTGGCTGGGCACAGTGGCTCATGCCTGTAATCCCAAAACTTTGGGAGGCTGAGGCAGGTAGATCACGAGGTCAGGAGATCAAGACCATCCTGGTCAACATGGTGAAACCCTGTCTCTACTAAAAATATAAAAATTAGCTGGGCATGGTGGTGCATGCCTGTAATCCTAGCTACTCAGGAGGCTGTGGCAGCAGAATCGCTTGAACCCTGGAGGTGGAGGTTGCACTGCGCCATGATTGCGCCACTGCACGCCAGCCTGGCGACAGAGCGACATTGTCTCAAAAAAAAAAAAAAACCAAAAAAAAAAAAACAAAAAAAAAACACAGATTCTTATATCTTTCCCAGATCGACTAAGTCAGGGAATTTCTGAAAGGTGGGGCCCAAATGATGCTCCTGCACATCAAAATTCAAGAAGCACAATTTTAGTGTGAGATGCACATATAGGTGTGTGATGGCAAATAATATCCCTTCTTAGGGTTCATGCTTTCATCTCAACCCCTGGGATCTCCAAGAGCTGAAAAGTAACAGTTGTTAAAGAACGGCATGGCTAAGCTCTAAGAGGATGGATAGAGGTTTTCTATATTTTTTATATATTATATATATACATATATAATATATATAATTTTTCCTTTTTAGTGCAGTAACTGTTATTTCTTTTGTCCCATTTTTAACACTTCCATAAAAGAAATAGCTTTCAGTGAAAGTAAATCACCTAATTTAAGAACATAAAGGCAAATGCCTCACAGTAAAGTACAGATTAAGAGCTATAAAAGCATCTGTGATTTCTACCAAGACATTAAGCTGCCAATTCTGATCTGATGATCAATAAGCAGCCATTCTCATACACAGAGACTCTGTTACCTCCATGCAATGATATCTATGCCCAAAGAACCACATCCTTGGCTCCCAGCAACCACATAGGCTGCTTGTGAATGATCCATGTAATTTTTTTTTTTAATTTTTATTTTTTTGAGACATGGTCTTACTTACCACGCTAGAATGCAGTGGTGTGATCATAGCTCACTACAGCCTTGAACTCCTGGGCTCAAGCAATCCTCCCACCTGAGTCTCCCAAGTAGCTGGGACTACAAGTGCACACTACCATGCCTAGCTAATTTTTAAAATTTTTTGTAGAGACAGCATCTCACTACATTGCTCAGGCTGGTCTCAAACTCCTGGGCTCAAGCGGTTCTCCCATCTTGGCCTGTTAAAGTGCTGAGATTACAAGAATGAACCACCACACACAACCTGAAACTTTTTTTTTAAGGTTGGCTTTTCTTTGCCCACTATCAGTGAAATGAAAGTAACTTGGTCTTTAGGAGTAATATAAGCAAGATCTAAGGATGCCAGAACATGATGAGGCCGTCCAAAGTCAAACGACAGGTTTAATTGTCTGTGCCACTGTTACCCTCCATGGACAGAGATAAGCAGAGTTGATAATCAAGTGCACAGTGCTGCTATCATCAGTCATCTTAAATTCAAACCATTTGCAGGCTTTTGCCTATTCTGCTCAGATAAACTTATGTGCTAAAGCAGAGTTGCTAATAAGCAGGAGGTTTAAAATAAGTAAAATAAATGCCATCCACGAAGCCAACTCCAACACCAGCCTGTGCCAAGTTAATATCTAGAAGGCAAAATGCATTTCATATAGTTAAATACATTTCCCTGGGAATTCTTGGGATCACAGGTACTGCTGAGGAAGCAGCCTCAGAAGAAAGCACTGTCTCCTGATGCTCATAGAGATCATTAGACAAAAGGCCAAACAAACAGTAAAGAAAAGATGCCACAAAAATTAAGAAGAGACCCCAGCACAATTCTGTCAAATATCAAAAGGGGTCTATATCTGGGAAGTCTAGAATCCAGCAGCCAACTAAATGAGAGAGTAAGAGAATATGCAATGACCAGAAAAGGATCATCTTGTTTCTAGAATGACTTGTTTCAAGTAAGAAGTATTCAAAAAGTCTTATCCATAAAACTGATTTCAGTTAACAGAGAGCTCAATTACTCTACTCCTTCCTTATATTTTTTTAATTCTTCTTTCCATTGTCAACATTTCTGTTCCCCGATCCTCTGCCAATCTTTCACCCTTTTCTCCCGCTGCTTTCTGCTCCTTGTTGACTAATGGATGCTCTTGAATTTTTCAACTTCCTGAGTTTAGAAAGAAATCACCCTATTAATACTTAATTGGTTCAGTATTAGTTTCATTTTCTAAAATTGTTTTTACTATGTGCTACAACATGAATAAGCCTTAAAAACATTATGCTACATGAAAAGAAGCTGGACACAAAAGACTACATATTATATGATTCTGCTTATATAAAAAGTCCAGAATAGGCAAATGCACAAAGACAGGAAGCAGATTAGTGGCTGTCAGGGGCTACAGGAAGTAGAGGATGGGGAGTGACTGCTAATGAGTACAAAGTTTTATTTTTGGGGTGACAGAAATGTTCTGGAATTCGATACTGGTGATGGCTGCACAATCTTGTGAATATACTGAAACCCACTGAATTGTAGTCTTTAAGATGGTGAATTTTATATTCTAATATACGTGAATTATATCTCAATAAAAAATTTTTAAAATTATTTTAATTTAGAGCCTTAGGACTCAACATAAAATTTTTTTAGCGTGCAGCTGTTAAAAAAACAAGAGAGAGACCAGCCTGGCCAACATGGTGAAACCCCATCTCTACTAAAAATACAAAAAATTAGCTGAGCATGGTGGCACATACCTGTAATCCCAGCTAATCGGGAAGCTGAGGCAGGAGAATTGTTTGAACCTAGGAGGTGGAGGTTGCAGTGAGCTGAGATCACACTGTTACACTCCAGCCTGGGCAACAAGAGTGAAACTCTGTCTCAAAAAGCAAACAAACAAACAAAAAAACAAAAAAAAAATTTTTTTTTTAATGCATAAAGGAGGTGGGGTGCAGTGGCTCACACCTGTAATCCCAGCACTTTGAGAGGTCAAGGCGGGCAGATCACTTGAGGTCAGGAGTTCGAGACCGCCTGGCTAACATGGTGAAACTAAAAATACAAAAAATTAGCTGTTTCTACTAAAAATACAAAAAATTAGCTGGGCGTGGCGGCACACACCTGTAATCCCAGCTACTCGGGAGGCTGAGGCAGGATAATCCCTTGAACCTGGGAGGCAGAGGGTGCAGTGAGCCAAGATTACGCCATCACACTCCAGCCTGGGCAACAAGAGCAAAACTCAGTCTGAAAAAAAAAAAGCATAAAGGAGGCCAGGCACAGTGGCTCACACCTGTAACCCCAGGACTTTGGGAGGCCAAGGGACTGCTTGAGCCCAGGAGTTCAAGACCAACTTGGGCAACACAAGGAGAACCAATCTCTACAAAAATTTAAAAAATTAGCCAGGTGTGATGGCATGCACCTGTGATCCTAGCTACTGAGAAGGCTGAGGTGGGAGGATTGCTTGGGCCTGGGAGGTAGAGGTTGCAGTGAGCCACGATTGTGCCACTGCATTCCAGCCTGGGTGTTAAGAGTGAGACGCTGTCTCAAGAAAAAAAAAGCATGAAGACATATGTGCTACAGTAACAGACTTGCCTGTGGAAAAGCTCTATTCTCAAGATTTGGGTACAGCCTGACTTTGAAATACCAGTTTAGTGTTTTATAAACACAATTGCCACAAAAGAAAGTGTTACGTTCCATTACCTGTCAAGCTCAGTAGAGGTACAATCAATGGAAAATAAATTTATATAGTTAAGATTCTGTGCTCCTGCTGTTCAGGTCTTTTTTTTTTTTTTTTTTCTACAGAAACTTCCTTAATGCAGAGAGTACCAGACTATTACATTTTTTAAGTAAAAGCTACAAAATGGTCTATATTTTCAATGTTGGGATTTAAAAAATAGCATTAAATAGCGTGGAATTTTTCTCTTGACGGAGTCCCGCTCTGTCACCCAGGCTGGAGTGCAGTGGCGCGATCTTGGCTCACTGTAAGCTCCGCCTCCTGGGTTCACGCCATTCTCCTGCCTTAGCCTCCAGAGTCACTGGGACTACAGGTGCCAGCCACCATGCCTGGCTAATTTTTTTTGTATTTTTAGTAGAGACAGGATTTCATCGTGTTAGCCAGGATGGTCTCAATCTCCCGACCTAGTGATTCGCCTGCCTCAGCCTCCCAAAGTGCTGGGATTACAGGCATGAGCCACTGTGCCCGGCCAGAATTTTTTTAAAAATTGTCCAGAAGACAAGTTACTTGAGTGAAAGCATATCTCCCCTAACCTTTCGTAGGATGGTACATCTTTTACCCAACCAATGGGCCAGAGTGAGTAGACAGAGCTGTAATGAACACTTAAGAATCGAGACCCAGGCTCGGTGTGGTGGCTCACGCCTATGGTCCCAGCACTTTAGGAGACTAAGGCAGGCAAGTCACTTGAAGCCAGGGGTTCCAGACCAGCCTGGCCAACAAGGCGAAAACCCATCTCTACTAAAAATATAAAAAATTAGCCAGGAGTTGCGGCATGCACCTGTAATCCCAGCTACTTGGGTGGCTGAGACATGAGAATCATTTGAACCTGACAGGCGGAGGTTGCAGTGAGCTGAAGATTGCTCCACTGCACTCCAGCCTGGGCAACAGAGCAAGACTTTCCAGCCTGGGCAAAAGAGCAAGACTCTGCCTCAAAAAAAAGAAGAAAAAAAAAGAAGACTCAGATAAAGGAACACTCAGTTGTACTGGCAGGAGCATAAATGAAACAGGCTTGGCAAAATTTGTCAAAAGCCTTAACATATGAGTATGCTTCATCCAGTAATTTCACTTCTAGGAATTTATTCTGAAGAATGGTTGGGCAGAAATGCTGAGATACACGTAACAAGGATGTTTATCATAACATTGTTCACAATAAAAAAGCTGGAAATAATCAGAATACCTAACAACAGGAGACTGACTGAATAAAATCTATCTACATATCCATAGGATACAGTATATGGCCTTTCCATACAGTGGAATAGCATACAGCTTTGAAAATGATGATATGATGGTAAATACATTGATTTGTAAATATGTAGTGATTTTTTGGGTAAAAAAGGGTTATAAGACAGTGTGACCACTCTCCTTTCATACACAAAATGCATTTATATTTGTATAAATATGTACATACTAGGGCTGGGTGCCACAATTCATGCCTGTAATCTCAGCACTTTGAGAGGCCAAGATAGGCGGATCACTTGAAGTTGGGAGTTTGAGACAGTCTGGCCAACAAATCGAGACCCCGTCTCTACTAAAAATATAAAAAATTAGCTGGGCGTGGTGGCACACACCTGTAATCCCAGCTACTTGGGAGGCTGGGGCACGAGAATCTTTTAAACCCAGGAGGCAGAGGTTGCAGTGAGCTGAGACCATGCCACCCACACTCTAGCCTGGGTGACAGAGCAAGACTCTGGTCTCAAAAAAAAAAAAAAAAAAAAGGCAAAAAAAAAAGTACATATTAATATTTTTATCTCTACACATAAAGGCTAATACAATGCAAACCAAAAAGTTAATAAATATTTATGGAGATCAAGAAAAAGGAGATAAGAAGTGACTTTGCTTTTTGATTATTGATATTTCCTTTATGTTTCTACATGAATCTGTGCATTTATAATCTGAGGAAAAACAAAAAGACTCAAAGAGATTGGTGAGTTTAAATAACCACGTTAGCAGCATCTTGGGAACTGAGGAAGATGGGGACTAGTATTTCTCAGAAGCACTGATGACTTAATTTGGATTATAAAAGTATTTTTAGCTCCATCAAAGGAAAAGTTCTTTAAAGTGGGGACATATTAAAAAAACAACAACAGCTCTGCAGCAGGCAAAGCACAATGATACCTGTTCTGATCTGATCTCTTTGGCCCCAAACTGAGCATCTCTCATGCTGTAACTGAGGAAGCTTTCACTTAGCAACTCATACTTCCTTCTCTGTGGGAACTGCGTTTCTCAGGCCTGTTTACTGGTGTAATAACTCTATATCCATACAGTCTGTTCTAGGTCAAAAGGAGCAGAGGTTCTGACAGTGGCAAAAGTGCCATGTGGCATCTAACCAGTGAGAATTAGCAACCATCCATTTCAGAAATGTTATGCTAGTAATTTTTGTATGATGGTTAAGGTGGACTATGCAGCCAGCCACTTAGGATCATCAGTGTAATCTTAGATACATAACCTAACTCATTTACGTTTCCTCATCTGTAGAATGGGAATATTAGGGTTGTTCTGAGGTTAAAATGTGGTAATACTTGTAAAGCACTTAGAATGAGTCTCTGGTACACAATAAGCCCTAATAAACGTGAGTTATTGTTAATACTATTAATAACATTAAGGGAGCAACAATGCCATACTTCCTTAATACCAACAACTTACAATTCCTGTCCTCCACTGAACTGTTCTCCTGATAAAATCTGAAACAAACAGGCTTAATATAACTTTTTAATTTCATTTGACCTCATCAATTTCAAGACTAGAAATATTATGGATTAAATTAACATGATAAAACTAATTTGGATGAACACTTTGAGTTGTTGACTTAGTACTTCTTAAGAAATATATGTTTGTGGTGAAACCCCATCTCTACTAAAAAATACAAAAATTAGCCAGGCATGGTGGCGGGTGCCTGTAATCCCAGCTACTCGGGAGGCTGAGGCAGGAGAATCGCTTGAACCCAGCAGGTAGAGGTTGCAGTGAGCTGAGATCGCGCCATTGCACTCCAGCCTGGGTGACAGAACAAGACTCAAAAAATAAGAAAAAAAAAATCTCAAAAAATAAGAAAAAAAAAAAATGTATGTTTCATGAGGCAGGATTAATAGTGCTCTAGACCCCCAGAGCCTAGCATAGTATGGACATAAGAGCACATGGAAGGTGCCCAATATTTCTTGAGTGAACCAAATAAGTAAACACATTTTTAAAAATTATCACATCCAATTCACCATCTCATCACTAGTATTCTATTCTTTTATTGCACCCCAGTTCCTCACCTCTGGAGTAGTATACCTGAAATTTTAGACACTTTTTAAGAAGCAAAATTTTCAAAGGACACAAGGGTGATTTGGTGGAACCAGAACCAAATCTCCATATTCAACTGTGTATGATCAAATAATATGATTGAGAGGGCCACACTTCAAGTGATATAAAAAGTTTGAGATGCTCCCCTCTATACTTACCCCCTGGCTCTCCCCACAACATCTTTTTTCTCTAGCCAATGTTGTCCTTGTTTATAGAGGCCTCGGTCATCAACCGCATTATTATCTCCTTTGGTCAAAAACTTGATATGCCCATTTTGCCTTAAAAGAGTAGAGGAAACCCAAGTCATCAAATACCTTCATGGCATTTAAAGCACAAAATCTGTTCTTGTTAACCAAAAATGTTTGTGGCATTGGGCTATCTTATCACCATTCTAGTGCTGAAATAATGATTTATGGAGCTATAAGAATGTTAATAGCTGTGTTGTTTATAAACGACTAAAAGCAAACTAAAGATCCAATATTAAGGAGGTCAAATATTATGTAAGCATTAAAATAATAGTATAGAAGAATATTTAATGACAAGATTGCACAAATGTTATTAAGTGAAGAATACAAAACAGCATGTTCAGTACAATCTCATTTTTATATTAAAATATATACATATTACCAATTTTCTGGAAACACAAAGAGCAAAGGAACACAATAAACTATCTCACAGGATATAATTGGCAAGATACAGACTATGGGAAGCTACAGAATAACCCAGTTTCTCCAACTAATGACTTGCAAGGAACAAAGAAAGTTCGGGAAGTGACCTACAGATTAAACAACAGACAGCCAGGCTCAGTGGCTCACGCCTGTAATCCTAGCACTTTGGGAGGCTGAGGCGGGTGGATCACCTGAGGTCAGGAGTTCAAGACCAGCCTGGCCAACATGGTGAAAACCCTGTCTCTACTAAAAATACAAAAATTAGCTGGGCGTGGTGGTGGGCGCCTGTAGTCCCAGTTACTCGGGAGGCTGAAGCAGGAGAATAGCTTGACCCGGGAGGCGGAGGTTGCAGTGAGCTAAGATCACGCCACTGCACTCAAGCCTGGGCAACAGAGCGAGACTCCATGCCAAACAAAAAAACAAAAAAAACAAGAGACTATAAAGCCACATCAACTAATTGCAGCTGAGGACTTTATCTGGATCCAGAAAGTTATGACACAATTGGGGATTTGAACAAATATCAAAAACTTGATGATACTAAAGAATTGTTTGGCCAGGTGCAGTGGCTCTCTCCTATAATCCTAGCACTCTGAGAGGCCAAGGTGGGTGGATCACTCGAGCCCAGGAATTCAAGACCAAACTGGGCAACATGGCAAAGCAAAAAATACAAAAAAGTTAGCCGAGCATGATGGTGTGCACTTGTGGTCCCAGCTGAAGTGAGAGGATCACCTGAGCCTGGGGAGGCTGAGGCTGCAGTGAGCTGTGATCACATCACTGCACTCTAGCCTTGGAGACAGAGTGAGACACTGTCTCAAATAACAAATAATAATAACACAGGAGGGGAAAGAGGTGGGAGTAGAGAAGGAGCAGAATTTACTATATATTAATCATCACTGGGACAGTGATGATAGATACATGGGGGTTCCTTATACTCTTCTGTGCATGTCAGAAACTCCCCAAATTCAGAAAATAAAAGCAAAAAAAAAAAAAGGTATTAGACAAGATCTAAAATAATACAGACCAATGTATAAACAGATCAGTGGATCAACAGTGGCTATCTATGGCTTTCTTTAGATTAGCTTTATCTTCTTTTTTCTCCAACAAACATGAGTTACTTTTATATTAGGAAAAAATGTTAGCTTTAAAAGAAAAAATACTTCAATTCTTCAGATATGCCACGGTTTACAGGAACAGTATTTTGTTTTTTTGTTTTGTTTTGTTTTGAGACAGAGTCTCACACTATTGCCCAGGCTGGAGTACAATGGTGTGATCTCGGCTCACTGCAACCTCCGCCTCCTGGGTTCAAGTGATTCTCCTGCCTCAGCCTCCCAAGTAGCCAGGATTACAGGTGCCCGCCACCACACCCAGCTAATTTTTTGTATTTTTCGTAGAGACAGAGTTTCACCATGTTGGCCAGGCTGGTCCCAAACTCCTGACCTCGTGATCTGCCCACTTCGGCCTCCCAAAGTGCTGGGATTACTGGCATGAACCACTATGCCTGGCCAGGAATAGCATTTGCTTGATCAGAAAATTATTAGTTTAATTCTACTAAAGAACCATGAAGTTTCTAGTAATTTTAAAATTTAATTGAAAGCAAAGTATATTTTACAGTTGATAAAGCCTAGCTGAAAATTAATTCAAGTGCATTTGGATTGACCACTGCAGTAGAAAGAAGAAAATTAGCTTCAGGTTTCTATGGGCTAATATCCACTTAGATTCTAAGTCAGAAACTGGCTCACTAGATGTTAAATCTGCAGAGGAAACTAATTTGGGAGGTGTTGCAAACACCAAAGATGGTTAAGTGCAAACAGTCACATTAAAAATAAGATTCCAGTTAGAAAAAATGCAAATATAGAGAGAAAAATAATCTGTAGCTGACAATTCAGTAAGTGAATAAAGGAAAAATTCTGAAGGGTAAAAGAGGACAGGTGCTAGGAGGGGCTCACTGCAAGAGTGAAAGTCAGGAGCAGCAGGAAGGAAAAGTGAATTCAACCCAGAAAACAATACCAACTCCACACATGCAGAAAAGGCAAATCAGATATGAGGAGATAAAACCCAGGAAATGGGGAACTCCCCAGAAAAAGGAAAGGGTGCTAGAGAGATCTGGACTACTCCCAAAGACTTGATTTGCTGGCAAAACAAACAAACAAATATATTAACACACCCAATTTCCCCTTCTGGGATGTAATCAGGAGACACCACTATAGCTTTTTTTAAAAAGCACAGATATCCTTCATCTACTTAGTGGCGACACAAATATTCTCTGGTGGCAACCAGCTCTTATTAGACTTATTTTTTATTTTTTTGAGATGGAGTTTCACTCTTGTCACCCAGGCTGGAATGCAACGATGCAATCTTGGGCTCACTGCAACCTCCGCCTCCCGAGCAGTGGGGATTAAAGGTGTGCACCACCACACCCAGTTAATTTTTATATTATTAGTAGAGACAGGGTTTCACCATGTTGGTCAGGCTGGTCTGGAACTCCTGACCTCAGGTGATCTGCCCTCCTCGGCCTCCCAAAGTGCTGGGATTACAGGTGTGACCCACTGCACCTGATCTTACTAGACATATTAAGTCCTACTCTAGCATTTCACAAGTCATAGGCTCAAAATACTGAGTGAAGGTATATTTACATAGGATTTTCCCTTGCTGGAACAAGGACCAAATATTTAATATTATCTACTTCTAGGGAGATCAAAGAGTTTAGAATTTAATTCACCCATCACAATACTGTGAAATTAGGAAGAAGGAAATACCACTTTACAGATGAGAAAAAATAAGACCCCAAAAGCTAAATGGGTACAGAATAATGTATCCATCTGCATGGGAAAAGCAAAGCTAAGGATTAAGTCACCCAATGGTAAAATTTATCTTTCCAAATACGTAATCACATGCCAGTGTTCAATATCATCCAATTATAATATTTCCTGATATGGTTTGGCTGTGTCCCTACCCAAATCTCATCTTGAACTGGAGTTCCCATAATTACCATGTGTCATGGGAGGGACCCAGTGGGAGGTAATTGAGTCATGGGGGCAGGTCTTTCCCAAGCTGTTCTCCTGATAGTGAATAAGTTTCATGAGATCTGGTGGTTTTATAAATGGGAGTTCCCCTGCACATGCTATCTTGCCTGCCGACACGTAGACATGCCTTTGCTGCTTCTTTGCCTTCTGATTGTGAGGCCTCCCCAGCCATGTGGAACTGTGAGTCCATTAAACCTCTTTCCTTTATAAATTACCCAGTGTCAGGTATGTCTTTATTAGCAGCATGAGAACAGACTAATACACCTCCTATAGGATGAACTTACTAACTACATACATTTTGAATATTATTTGTCCCCATATTTAAGAGCAACATTAATACTATTAAACCAAATGGGGCTGGGTGTGGTGGCTCACGCCTGTAATCCCAGCACTTTGGGAGGCATAGGTGGGTGAATCATTTGAGGTCAGGAGTTCAAGACCAGTCTGGCCAGCATGGTGAAACCCTGCCTCAACTAAAAATACAAAAATTAGCTGGGCATGGTGGCAGGCGCCTGTAGTCCCAGCTACTCAGGAGGCTGAGGCAGGAGAATTGCTTGAACCCAGGAGGCAGATGTTGCAGTGAACCAAAATCGCACCATGTGCTCCAGCCTGGGTGAAAGAGCGAGACTCTGTCTCAAAAAAAAAAAAAACACACAAATGGTAACTCTGACCAGATATTTCAGTCTCCCCAAAAGAAAAAAGAAAATTGAAATTTTCTGAATATTAATATCTACACAGGCCTGCAAGTTGAAGGTATCTCAAGAGTCTGAAATAAATCACCAAAAACCCCAGATTATAAGTACCATATTTAAAATCATCAGAATTCTTACACAATTATTTTAAAAATTTAAGGATTTTCCAATTAAAAATTATCTGTCTATGAATCTGCCCAGAAACAGTTTTAAACTGAAGTCTATGACTCATTCAATTTCTTTTTCTTTTTTCTTTTTTTGAGATAGAGTCTCACTCTGTTGCCCAGGATAGAATAAAGTGGCATGATCTCAGCTCACTGCAGCCTCAACCTCCTGGGCTCAAGTGATCCTCCTACCTCAGCCTCCTGAGCAGCTGGGACTACAAGTGCACACCACCGTGCCTGACTAATTTTTTTTTTTTGTATTTATAGAAACAGGGTTTCACCATCTGGTCTAGATGCCCAGGCTGGTCTAGTGCTCCTGTGCTCAAGCACTCCACCCGCCTCAGCCTCCCAAAGGGCTGGGATTACAGGCATGAGTCACCACGCCCAGGCAAACTCACTCAATTTCAAATAATCATAAATAAAAATGGAGAAATTTTCCTCCAGCTTAAATAAGGCCTGAGCTCAGTTTGATTCTCTCTGATATATTTAGTGGAAAGTTGGTTCAGCTTTGTTCATAACAGGCATTGCTGAGAATGAACAACACAAATCCACTTTGAGAATCTGGAAAACACTATCTGCACTGAATAAGCCTCTATAATTCCAAAATAAATTTCTTTTTTTTTTTTTTTTGAGATGGAGTCTCACTCTGTCACTCAGGTTAGAATGCAGTGGCGTGATCTCAACTCACTGCAACCTTAGCCTTCCAGGTTCAAGTGATTCTCCCGCCTCAGCCTCCTGAGTAGCTGGGATTACAGGTACCCACCACCACACCTGGCTAATTTTTGTACTTTTAGTAGAGATGGGTTTCACCATTTTGGCCAGGCAGGTCTTGAACTCCTGACCTCAGGTGATCTGCCCGCCTCAGCCTCCCAAAGTGCTGGGATTACAGGCACAAGCCACCGCTCCTGGCCCCAAAAAAATGTCTAAAAATTTAAGTTATTCCTTCTCAGTCAATAATATAATGTCACTTTAAATTATAGTATTTTCACATATATACTGACATCGGATTTTATTTAAAAAAAAAAAAGCTGTCACATCTTTATTTCACCAATGAAGAAAGAACTCTTCTAAACTAGAATGTTTACAGGAATTTCAAAAACCAATGGTTGACAGTTCCTTCTTCTTTAAGCAGAGGAAAAAAAACAATTTTATAGGGTGGTAAAAATAAGATAGTTTTTACAGAGAGCTTTTGCATATTCAAGAACTAAAATCCACCAGGTGCAGTGGCTCATGCCTGTAATCCCAGCACTTTGGGAGGCCAAGGCAGGTGGATCACTTGAGGCCAGGGGTTCGAGACCAGCCTGGCCAACATGGTGAAACCCTGTCTCTACTAAAAATACAAAAATGAGCTGGGCATGGTGGCACATGCCTGTAATCCCAGCTACTCAGGAGGCTGAGGCACGAGAATCGCTTGAGCCCAGGAGGCGGAGGTTGCAGTGAGCCGAGATAGCACCATTGCATTCCAGCCTGGGTAACAGAGGGAAACTGTCTCAAAAAAAAAAAAAAAAAAAAAAAGAACCTAAATCATGCCTACTCTTTCACTTCTCGTCTGTGTGTCATCCAGAATGCCTCCCTTTTCTTTCATTTCTTTGTTTTCTTTTATGAGACAGGGTGGAGTGCAGTGGCACAAACACGACTTACTGCAGCCTCAAACTCCTGGACTCACACAATTCTCCCACCTCAGTCCTCCAATTAACTGGGACTACAGGCACATGCCACTACGCCCAGCTATTTATTTATTTATTTATTTATTTATTTATTTATTTATTGAGACAGACTCTGGCTAATTTTTATATTTTAGTAGAGACAGGGTTTCACCATGTTAGCCAGGCTGATTTCAAACTCCTCACCTCAGGTGATCCACCCACCTCGGCCTCCCAAAGTGCGGGGATTACAGGCGTGAGCTACCGTGCCTGGCCTTTTTTGTTTTGTTTTGTTTTATCAGAGAAGGAATCTTACCATGTTGCCCAGGCTGATCTCAAACTCCTGGGCTCAAGCCATTCTCTCACCTTGGCCTCCCAAAGTACTGGGATTGTAGGCATGAGTCACTGTGCCCAACCAGAAGATTATATTTAGGATCTATCTTTATGTCATAGTTTTTTGGAATTATATACAGAGTCACTGACAGGTTGGGAAGTAAAAGGGAACCAGGAAAAACCTTCAGGGAAAAATATGAACCAATAAATAATTATTTACAGTTTTCAAAATGTTCACTAAACTTTCAAATGGACTGGAAGAGGGCCTAGAGGTTCCTCACTCTTTCATAGTCTTTAGGCTATCAAAACTAAATACCACAAACACTTAAACAAAAGCAGTTAGAAACAAAGATGATATACTTTGCACATACTTTTCATGAATCTTCAAGACTCGGTGAACTATAGGAATCTCTCTTCCTTCTATCCTAAAAACAACAATTTCTCCCACTCGTATGGGATCTTCAACTCGATTTGTTAGAAATAGAAGATCTCCTCTATGAAATGCAGGTTCCATGCTGCCACTAGGAGGGAAAGAAGAATATAATAGCAAAAAGAAAGTATGAGATTAAACGTACTTTCCAAATTAGATATTCAACAAAATAAAAAATATCACTTCTGGAGTATACTCAATACTTTAACAACTATATCAACAGAAATGTGTATTGTTCTCAAAATATGGTTTCCTCAGACTAATAAGTTACGACAAAGGATTTTTAGTTATTAACCTTCACTGACTAGTTCCATTTCAAGTATTACTATTCAAAGAAGCTTAAATCTTGAAAAGGTCAGTGTTACTAATTCCTTAACCTTTTAAAATTTCAAATGACAAACAGAATATAAAAGAATGAACTTTAAAACAATGCCCTTATTCTCACTTCATCTGAAAACACTAAACATATTCAAATATGCAAATTAGAACTGGATCATCTTCCTCTGCCATTTATAAAGATAACAGCCAAGATGACCTTACAGGTTCAACTCATTTAGAAGGAAAAATGGCTCATCAAGTCAAAGAACTGTCAGCCACAGAGATAATGCTTGTGTTATCAATTTACTTATTTTAAAAAGAGAAAAAAAAAAAACAAGGAATAAGCAGAGATTTTTGCCTAAGAATTTCAGAAGCCAAGAAAAGATTCAATTCTATGGTAATAAGTAAGACTAACTTCTACAGAGTATCTTCTTACCTCTTACCTCTTCCATCCTACACCAAGTCCTAAAAAGGTCCTAAGATATTTGCACTAATTTATGAACTCCTTTTTATCTAACAAGAAGTAGCCCATCAGTATTTTTCAGAAACTCAAGCTCCGGTTTTCTATAACAACAGCTTAAGTAACAATAGAAAGACAAGAAATAAAGTTCAATGCGGGAATAAGTACAAACTCCAAACACTTTTGTTTAAAGACTCTCATCCCTCTATGTAAAGGGATATAGCAATGGGTCTCAAACTTTGCTGCACATTGGAATGACCTGAGGAACTTTTAAAAAATCTCGGCCAGGTGCAGGGGCTCACACCTGTAATTTCAGCACTTCGGGAGGTCGAGGTGGGCAGGTCACCTGAGGTCAGGAGTTCGAGACCAGCCTGGCCAACACAGTGAAACCCAGTCTCAACTAAAAATACAAAAATTAGCTGAGTATGGTGGCGCACACCTGTAATCCCAGCTACTCAGGAGGCTGACGCAGGAGAATCACTTAAACCCAGGAGGCGGAGGTTGCAGTGGGCTGAGATTGTGCCATTGTACTCCAGCCTAAGCAATAGAGTGAGACTCTTTTTCAAAATAAAAAAAAAAAAGAAAAAAGAAAGAAGGAGAAGGAGGAGGAGGAAGAAGAAGAAGAAAGAAGGGAGGAGAAGGGAGAAGGAGAAGAGAGAAGGAGGAGGAGGAGAAGAAGGAGAAGGAGAAGAAGAAGAAGAAGGAGAAGGAGAAGGAAAAGAAGAAGAAGGAGAAGGAGAAGGAGGAGAAGAAGGAGGAGAAGGAGGAGAAGAAGGAGGAGAAGAAGGAGAAGGAGAAACTGGGGGCCAGGCACCATGGTTCAAGCCTATCATCCCAGCACTTGGGAGGTTGAGGTGGGAGGATCACTTGAGATCAGGAGTTCAAGACTCGGTCTCTATAAGAAATAAAAATTAGCCAGGTTTGATGGCACACTCCAGTCTGGGCGATGGAGGGAGGCCCTGTGTTAAATGTTCTTATCACAAAAAAATAGAAAGGGGGGAAACTTTTGAAAGTGATGAATATATTCACTTCCATGATTGTGGTAATGGTTTCACAGGAATATACTTACCTGCAAATTAATCAAGGTGTATACATTAAATATGTACAGCTTTTTGTATGTCAATCATCTCTCAATAATTTGGTTAAAAAAGAGTAATCTAAGTACTATTACTTAGAGTCTAGATAATGTTAATGTACTATTACTTCAATTCTAGATAATATTAATAATTCAATTTATTTTAAATCTGCCCATTATCTCCAGAAAGGATTTGGGCTTACAAAATTAAGCCCAAAATCTGACAAAACTATAATGTTTCTTTTCTTTTCTTTTTTTTTTTGAGACGGAGTTTCGCTCGTCGCCCAGGCTGGAGTGCAATGGAGCGTTCTCTGCTCACTGCAACCTCCGCCTCCTAGGTTCAAGCGATTCTCCTGCCTCAGCCTCCTGAGTAGCTGGGACTACAGGCGCCTGCCACCACACCCGGCTAATTTTTGTATTTTTAGTAGAGACGGGGTTTCAACATGCTGGCCTCGAACTCCTGGTCTTGAACTCCTGGCCTCAAGTGATCTGTCTGCCTCAGCCTCCCAAAGTGCTGGGATTACAGGCATGGGCCACCACACCCAGCCTGTAATGTTTCAATTAAACAACCAAGTGGTAATTCTCTAAAAACGAGTTACTAAATTGGGTTTTAAAATCACTAAGAGTGGCTGGCCATGGTGACTCATGCTTATAATCCCAGCATGTTGGGAGGCCAAGGTGGGAGGATTGCTTGAACCGAGGAGATCAAGACCAGATTGGGCAACACAGTGAGATCCTATTTGATATAGTTTGGCTGTGTCCCCACCCAAATCTCATCTTGAATTCCCACGTGTTGTGGGAGGGACCTGGTAGGAGGTAATTGAATCATGGGGCGGGTTTTTCATGTGCTGTTCTGGTGATAGTGAATAAGTCTCATGAGATCTGATGGTTTTAAAAAGGGGAGTTCCACTGCAAAAGCTCTCTTCTCTTGTCTGCTGCCATATGAGACGTGCCTTTCACCTTCTGCCATGTCCCCAGTCACGTGGAACTGTAAGTCCATTAAACCTTTCTTTTGTAAATTGCCCAGTCTTGGGTATGTCTTTATCAGCAGCATGAAAATGGACTAATACACTGTTTCTACAAAAAAATTAAAAAATTAACCAGGTGTGGTGGAGCAGGCCTGCAGTCCCAGCTGCTCAGGAGGCTAAAATGGAAGGATCCTTTGAGACCGGTAGGTGGAGTCTGCTATGAGTTATGATGGCGCCACTACACTCTATCCTGGGTAAACAGAGCGAGACCCCATCTTTAAAAAAAAAATTCACTAAGAGTATGAGTGCAAAGATAGGGAAGGAAGCAGAGTGGAGAAAAAAAATTCAGTACTATTTGTCACCATAAGAGATGGTATTAATGCCTTCAAAATTCCTGGAGTCTAGTTTAGAAGTGATATTTAAAGGTCAGCAGGAAACTTGGAAATAATTAGTGATTCTTCTATACTGACACTGAGAACATGCTACAGAAAAACTCTTTAATTTGTGGAAGTACTATAACATCTAATGAAGTAACAACTAAATATCAGGCCTGGTGTATCAAAGTGAGGAATATAAAAAGACAGAACAATTTCAGGAAAATAAAGTACAATGAGACACTTTCTTAAGGGATGTGACAAAAAGAAACCTCACATGGTAACCTTTTTGTAGAACGGTCATGAGCCCTTTGGGGTTCTGAATGGAAATGCCTAACAAAGTGAGAATTTCTTTTCTATCTCTCTTTTTTTTTTTTTTTTTTGGAGACAGGGTCTCGCTCTGTCGCCCAGGCTGGAGTGCAGTGGTGCAATCACAACTCATTGCAGGCCTCAAGCTCCAGGGCTTAGGCAATCCTCCCACTTCAGCCTCCCGAGTAGCTGAGACTACAGGTGCATGCCACCACACCCGCTAATTTTTGTATTGTTTGTGGAGACAGGGTTTCACCACATTGCCCAAGCTAGTCTCAAATTCCTGAGCTCAAGCAATCCGCCTGCCTGAGCCTCCCAAATTGCTGGGATTACAGGCATAAGCCACCGCGCCCAGCCTGAGAATTTCTTACAATTGAGAAGTAGTGACTAATTTTCTTCCAGGCCCTTTTCTGGAAAACAGTAGTTTCTAAGGGAATGATATACCAGTTATTTCATATCTCAATTTTTCTCCCAAGTAATGCCATGCAATTCCATGCCTTGAAAGGAAAAACTGTTACCTGAGCACCACTACAATTGGACTTTCACTTCCAGTTATTACCATTAACCCCTTCCAGATCATTAGTGCTGATGAGACAATCATTCCGAAATTTAGGACTTGATAATAGAGCTGCAAGAACAAAAGAGAAGAGATCAGATCCACCATTATACCCACTTTGGAAAGCAATTGAGAGCGGTAACAATTTGAAAGTTTCAAGCAGTACTATTAGGACAACTACAGTTCTGAGACATTCTTTAACATACTATAATAATTATGCCATCAGCATATCAAAACAGGCACCCCTTCTTTCGCCAAAGCACCCTGCTCCATTTTGTTTGGTAAAACATCAGTTACATTTATATAACCATATTATTTTAAGAACCTTTCACAAAAGTTATTTCATTTGGGCTCCATAATCATTCAGCTTAAATTCAATCATACCCATGCTACTTACCAGCCAACAGTAATCTGTCTCTGCTGCTGAACTCCTCTATTACTTTACTTTTCTTTTTTTTTTTGGAGCCTCGCTCTCGCTCTGTCACCCAGGCTGGAGTGCAGTGGTGCCATCTCAGCTTACTGCAACCTCCGTCTCCTGGGTTCAGGAAATTCTCCTGCCTCATCCTCCCGAGTGGCTGGGACTACATGCATGCACCATCACGCCCAGCTAATTTTTTTGTATTTTCAGTAGAAACGGGGTTTCACCATGTTGGTCAGGTTGATCTCGAACTCTTAACCTCAAATGATCTGCCCACCTCCGCCTCCTAAAGTGCTGGGATTACAGGCATGAGTCACCACGCCCGGCCCTCTATTACTTTTCTACCATATTTATCCCTTGATAATCATGGGAATAGTCAATGACATTTAACTCTACCTTCTCATTTTACAGTTAAGGAAACTGTTTCATAAAGAGGAGACTTCACCAAGTCCTATAGCTTATCAGTCACATAGTCAAGACTTGAAGGTCAGCTTTCTTACTAAATCTCTAGTACTCCACAAATTCTAAAATTCTGTGACTTGAATAATCGGATAAAACACCAGAAGGCATTTCAATTTCAAATAAAGAAAATTCAGAACGTATGGAAAAAGGCAAAAAATATTACCAAATCAGATAAGAGAAATAATGTGAGCTAACTGTTTTGGGCCAAGGCTGGAAAAAGCATAGACAGGATGACCAGACACCAAGGCAAATAGTTTAAAAGGAAAAAGCTGGTACTGGAAAGTACTGGGAGAGATCTGAAAAAGCATATTAAGGTCCAACTATGAAGAAACTTAAACACAGGACTGAACCTGTGGATCTAACAAAACATTAGTAATATAAAGTGAAAAAACAAAAGTTTCAAAAGGTCTTACTCTGTCGCCCAGGCTGGAGTATAGTGGCACAATCACAGCTCACTGCAGCCTCCAACTCCTGGGCTCAAGCAACCCTCCTACCTCAGCCTCCTGAGTAGCCAGATGTGGTAATTTTTGTATGTTTTGTAGGGAAGAGGTTTCGCCATATTGCCCAGGCTGCTCTTGAACTCCTGGGCTCAAGCAATCTGCCTACCTCAGCCTCCCAAAGGGCTAGGATTACAGGTGTGAGTCACCATGCCTGGTCACTTTTGATAAGATTTGCTTGTGGACATTCTACACAACTGTCCTAGTCTCTTCAAAAATCCAATGTCATTCAATGTCATGGAAAAAAAGGTGGAAGACTGTTCTAGATTAAAAAGGACTAAAGAGATATAACAACCAAATATAATGCACAAACTTTGGTTTCTTTGTTGTTTTTTTCTTCCTTCTCATTCAGTTCTAATAATACACAAACTTTGGCTGGATCTTGGTTCAAAAAAAAAAAAAAAGCGTAAGAAAAAATCTGAACTATAAAAGACATTTTGGGGTGAATTGGCGAAACTCAAAATATGATTTGAATATTAAATGACACTAGGAAATTCATGTTAATTTTCTTTTTTCTCTTTTCTTTTTTTTTTTTTTTTTTGAGACAGGGTCTTGCTCTATCACACAGGCTGCAGTGCAGTGACATGATCTCAGCTCACTGTAACCTCTGCTCCCAAGTTCAAGTGATTCTCATGCCACAGTCTCCCAAGTAGCTGGGATTACAATGGGCATGCATCATCACACCTGGCTAATTTTTGTATTTCTAGTAGAGACGGGGTTTTACCATGCTGGCCAGACTGGTCTCAAACTCCTGTCTTCAAGCAATCCACCCACCTTGACCTCCCAAAGTGCTGGGACTACAGATGTGAGCCACTGCACCCAGCCTCTAATTTTCTTAAATTATGTGATAAATTATGTGATAATGGTGTTGTGGTTATGTAGAACACTGTCCTTATCATAAGAGATGCATATTAGTAGTAGTTGGCTAGTAGTTGTAGTTAGGGGTGAATTGTCATTATCTGCAACTCATTTTCAACTGATTCAGCAAAAAAAAATTCTATATGTGCACACACACATAAGTATACATAGAACACATATGGCAAAAATGCTAATAATTGTTGGATCTGTGTGACAGATTACAGGTGTTCCCTGTACTTTCTTTCAATTTTTCTGAAAAATTCCAAAAAATGTGTAGAAAAAAATGGAAGAAGCCAGGTGCAGTGGCTCACGTCTGTAATCCCAGCAATTTGGGAGGCTGAGGTGGGCAGATCACTTGAGGCCAGAAGTAGGAGACCAGCCTGGCTAACATGGCGAAACCCATCTCTACTAAAAACACAAAAATTAGCTGGGTGTGGTGGGACATGCCTGTAATCCCAGCTATTTAAGAGGCTGAGGCACAAGAATTGCTTGAACCCAGAAGGCGGGGGTTGCAGTAAGCTGAGATCGCACCATTGCACTCCAGCCTGGGCAACTGAGCAAGACTCTGTCTCAAAAAAAAAAATAATAATAAAAAGGAAGAAAATAAAATAAATGTTAGTTGTTATATTTGGGGGTGTAATACTAGGCAATTCTTATTTATTTCATTTTGATCATCTACATTTTCTACTTCTTCCCTTTTTAAACCAATTGTAATTTTTATCAAAACACTATACACACATACATACAAGAATATGTAAAAAAAAAGCAATATCCTAGCCATGGCAGGTCACCATTTTCATCTCTTCTAGCTATTTATTCTGATATTTACCCCAACCATTCTAAAAACTAATTGTTTGTTTACTTTCATACTAGGGTGTTAATGCATGACGTTCAAAATGTACAACGAGGGACTAGGCACAGAGACTCATGCCTGTAATCCCAACACTTTGGGAAGCCGAGGTGGGAGGATCACTTGAGCCTAGGAGTTCCAGACCAGAAAGCAAGACCTTAATCTCTACAAAAAAGTACAAAAAAGGCCGGGCGCAGTGGCTCACGCCTGTAATCCCAGCACTTTTAGAGGCCGAGGTCACTTTTAGAGATCACGAGATCAGGAGTTCAAGACCAGCCTGGTCAACATGGTGAAACCCCATCTCTACTAAAAATACAAAAATTAGCCAGGCGTGATGGCACATGCCTGTAATCCCAGTTACTTGGGAGGCTGAGGCAGGAGAATTGCTTGAACCGGGAAGTGGAGGTTGCAGTGAGCCAAGACTACACCATTGCATTCCAGCCTGGGCGACAGAGCAAGACTCCGCATTAAAAAAAAAAAAGAAGAAGAAGGTACAGGAAAACTTAGAACATTAAACAGAGATGTGGATAATTAAAAAAAAAAAAAATTCAGAGGCTGGGCTCGGTGGCTTATGCATGTAATCCCAGCACTTTGGGAGGCCAAGGCGAGCAGATCTCCTTGAACTCCTGAGGTTAGGAGTTCAAGACTAGCCTGACCAACATGGAAAAACCCCCCATCTCTACTAAAAATACCAAATTAGCTGGGCTTGGTGGCACATGCCTGTAATCCCAGATACTTGGGAGGCCGAGGCAGGAGAATCACTTGAACCTGGGAGAAGGAGGTTGCAGTGGGCCGAGATCCCACCATTGCACTCCAGCCTGGGCAACAAGGGTGAAACTCCATCTCAAAAAAAAAAAAAAAAAAGAAAGAAAGAAAAATTAGCTGGGTGTGGTGGCACGTGCCTGTAGTCCCAGCTCCTTGGAGGCTGAGGCAGGAGAATCACTTGAACCCAGGAGGTAGAGGCTGCAGTGAGCTATGATTGTCCCACTGCATTCTGGCCCAGGTGCCAGAGCAAGACTGTGTCTCAAAAAATAAACACAATTGTGATGAGGAATCCAGCTCTCTTGTACCATTTTCTATTTTTTCCCTACAATTATTGACCTGTTTTTCCTGCATACTTTATAAAAACGTTTCAAGTTTCATACTCTTATAAATGCAAAGTTAATCTCTGAACAGACAGACAAGAAACTGGGGAAGAGGAACCAGGAGTCAAGGTGGAAGGAAAAGATGTTCTGATACACATACTTCACGTTTTTACCGTTTTTAGTATATGCAAGTATCACCTGTTCAAAACTAAACTGTTTAGGTTTATTTTTTTAAGTCCATGCTAATGGCCAGAACACTGTATTTCAAGCATTCCAATGAAGCATGGTGTACTCAATCAATGTGATTAATCAATTTCCACAAAAGGAAATCTGAACATTTTCTCAGAGACACTTAGATATTTGCTATTCTTTTGAGTAATGGAGTGATGTGAGCACGTGGGTAATCTGAAACCTACTTTGACACTCACATTTACAGGTAAGGAAACTGAGGCACAGAGAAGCTAAGCGATATGCTCATGGTTGCATATCTACTGGCTGGCAGAGTAGCACTATTAGAACTCTGGCCTCCTAAATTCTACGTTTTCAAGATGGTGGCTTTTTAAAAGACAAAATGGGTCTTTTTATTCTGAAGGCTGAATTGAAGAAGTGGAGTGGGAGATGATAGAAGTAGGAAAACTAGCTTCTAAGATGCAATTATGTCAACCAGAAGATAGTGAGGAATTAAGACTCAATTTTCCAACTTTCTGCACTAAAAATACCACCTACAGTACTGGTTAGGACAATAGATTCTGGGCCCTAATTCAGAACCTCTGAGGAAGGGGTTGTATGATTCTACAATGTATATAGCTCCACAATCCCTTGCTCAAAACCCTTGGGGGTCAGATGTGTTTCAGGATTCAGAATGGGTGTGATTTTGAAAAGGTAATACTTGCATGTACCCA